TATGATGAATGAGCTTGTACGATCTTTTAATACATATATTATAATTAGGTACGCGTAATGTTTTATTCCCTACATGACAAATAATTTTATTTGTCATTCTGTTATACTTATTTATTCGATATTTTCTAACTTCGTTTTCTTTTTGGCAATTTGGAGATTATGGGATTCCTAACACCAAATATTATGTAAATTAAGTATGTTAGAAGCTATGAATGTTTTTAATTTTGGTTCTTGTTTGTGATTCAGCATAGTATTCAAACAGTTTATAAATTTTGACTAAACCTAAGACTAAAAAGTGTTTTTACAGCTTGGTACCTAGCTGCTTGTATAGGAAGCAACAATAAAGAATAGTCTAAATCCAGGAGTGAGACTACTGTCCTGCAAATATTTTGGAAAAACTGTTCATTCAACTTCATCCATTCATTCGTTTCCAACACTAAATTCATCCATTTTACTACATATTGATCTGCTCTTCGACAGCGATGTCTGAACGATGAATGATGAACGAGCTCTGACGACAAAGGCTACGGCCCCCAGTTTCCGGCGGCCCTTCTATTCCTGGTCAGGGCTGCGACCACGGTAACGGCGGGGCAGGGGGGTGAGTAGAATCTAGGGCTACAGGAGGCCACGACAACCGGCTGAAACTGGCAACGTACGACAGACGCACCCTATGGGGTGTATACGGGTGGGATGTGTACGGCTAGAGCCGCCTCTAGCGCAACTTGAGGTAGAACTTGGGAAGATTAGGTGGAATATTCGAGGGCTATGTCAAGTCCGAAGAGAGGGGGATGACACTATAACCCTCGAGTTAGGCCACCTAATGTGCTTCCGGAATACCATGGATTTTGAAGCAGGAATCAAAGGGGTCAAATTCTCGTCAACTTTACTACACGAAACAGCGGCCCCGAAGGAAGTGGACGTCGCAAAGCTCCGGCACTATGACGAGAAATGAGATCGATTCTATCACGACGGATAGGAAGCACGTATTCAGAGACGTCTCAGTAATCAATAGGTTTAATACCCGTAGCTATCACCGACTTGTCAGGCCCTCTGAATATCGAATTTAAGGCTGAACGTGTCTGTTGGATGAAGTCCGGACTCCGACCAGTTGTGTTATCTCAACAAACGCAGTGGAGGACGCCGATAGGCCCGGTGGAGTGACGATTCGCACAAAATGGCTGGCAGGAGCTGGATGCTATAAGTCCAAAATCGATCTAAGTGGCGTGCAATGGGACAGGCTTATTTTCAGCAGTAGACTGCGATAGGCTGATGATGATGATGAAGTTGGTTTGTGTACACTTTAAATACGAGAAAAGTACTGCATCGATTGATGACAAATCTAGACTACTACTAGAATTTTGTTCATTATCTCTCATCGATGCAACCACAATGTGCCACAGCAGAGCATGGCAGGGTACAGCTAGTACTTTCATAAAACCTGAATTTTCAATAACTTTACTTACTGTTCATAAAGAAACTAATATCACTGTCTTTGGTACATATGAATAGAATATTATTTCTATAGATCTAGATATTTCTACTATCAACTTTTTGTGAGTGAATCGGCAACTGAATGTGAATAGTATATCCTTAACCGCTGTATCTATTGTGCTGATAACGTTATTCCGCCACGATACCCCAACTGGGCGTAGGTGTGAATTTTTCATGAGCTTACTCGTAATTTCTAATGACGCAAGTCCGAGGGTACACTCATACCTACAAAAAAAAACCTTTCCAATTCGTCCTAAATGATTAAATATGTAATAGGAGTGCAAATCTATATATTTTACTACATCAGTTTTATTAATATTGTATTGTTATACGATATTAGCACGAAGTTAAAACTTTATAAATAATGTGCATGATAGACTTCTATTTTAAACCATGTATATATAAATTGATGTTAATTACTACAGATATACATCCACCAATATATCTATGTCTACATATTAAATCTATACTTATATCACATGATAAATAGTTAATATTTTTAAACATCGTTGTCACACCTACCGCCGTACATAGTCTTTGGCTGTGCCTCAATATTGCTTCACCCTATCACCCTACTTCTCTGCACACATGTTCCCACCAATTTAAAATAGTCTCCACTCCGATACTAAAACTATTTAAAACACTTATGTGATTTAGAATATCAAAATGTACTTTTAGTCCGTAGGCAATATAACACCTTAAAAGGCAGTGGATAACAAGATAAAAGTATGAAATAACAGCTAAATTAAAATAAAACATATTTGAAACTACAAACTGAAAATATTCTAAACACAGCCCTTAATTTGAGAGTAAACCATAGACATCTTTAGGCGAGTAGCAAGTAATTAGTGAAAACATTTTAAGAACATTCAGTGTTGATTGAGATGTAGTGGCCACAAATATTTAAACCAAAAAAATAATTAAACCACGCAAAGTAAGTTTTACTTTAAAAGTTTATTATGTTAATATTTACATTTAGCAAACAGACTTGTGACACACCATTTTCTTGTAAGTCACGGTCCTTTTAAAGTCCTACATATTTTAACACATCAATAGTTTTTACTCGCCCAAAGATTTCTCGTTTACAATTAATGAACACAAACATCAAAATCATTATATTATAATATATTCTACAATTCAGCTACTAGAATAGTTAATTCTATAAAAGATTTTTTAAAGTCAATAGATATAGGTACGTACTATGACTTTTAAAAATCTATAACGACTACATAAACTAGAATAAAGTTATGGAACTTTGATTTATATTTGCACACAATTTTTTTTATCAAATTATGCTATTCACTGCGTCAATCGCAATAAACAATGTGCGTTAAAATAACAAACAAATCGAAACAAATGATCTTTATTCGTTATTTGCTGCCGAATGGTTTTGTTTTTAATACTCTTCACCACAAATATAATAGTTAGCTGCAAAGCCACAGATAATATCGTGTGACATCAGTAAGTCTCTATTATTACTACAGATTTTACCGTAGAATTGACGGCAGTTATTCAGGGAAGCCTGACTAGTTTCAAATCTAACATTAACCTTGTATTAAAGCGAATCGTCCTCTTAAGATGGTCGTGGTGGTTGGTCCGGCACCTAAATCCTAAAACTGAAACTAGTCGGCTTTTCACAAATACTCGAATAACTTCTATATAACTGTCGGGTCAAATCAGTTTCCAAGGATTTCCATAGATACGAACAGATTTCTGAGGAACTTTTCCGCACATTTCAATAACGCTTAAACTATTTACTGTAAGTATTGTACTGATTATTCTCAAACGGTAAATAGCAAATCGTGCGAATGCTAAGAGTACTTTCTTTACAACAATTTTTTTTTTTTATATTTATGATATATATTCTATTTTTATTCAATATTTTATTTTTAATAGCTTATCCTACACTCGGGACTATGAGACGAACTCATACAACATTTTTAGATAAAGTAATATATATCTTCTAGGAACATATAAAAGTGCTGAAAGAAACGCACTCAAAAATGTCACTTACCAGTCCTTTTACGTACTCTGATATAGTTTATCAGTCCAATAACTCAGAAACAGGAATAATAAATAAATAAAAAGGACAAATTATAAATAATCGACAGTTGATCATAGTTATGTACGTGAATTCGATATATACCTATGTTATATAAAAATATGTATATCTGGTTTTTAACTGTTTGTATGTGTTCTGCAATACAAAGCTTTTATTCGTATGAACGGCATACGAATTAAATCTTGGCATTTCAGAATACAAAACTACTGACATGTAAAATATATGTTTTAATGAATCATCTTTTGATTATGACAGACCGTATAAGATCTCTATAGAAATAATTTAGAATATTTAAAAACATATTCCTTCATACCTAATATTCCTTCACCCATATGAATTTTCTTATCGTGTATGAACTATAGACTTTTTGATAAGAGATTAAAATACCAAAACACTAATCAAGTATTGAGGCAAAACGTTCCTCCACAAAAATACACTCTAATGCTAATGCTGACTACAATATCAATGTGGCACTTACTGAACTTATGTGTAATTACAACATTTTGTTTACGATATAATACATCCACTTGCCTTTTAAGAAAATATAATGTCCGACACTTAGCATGAATACAACCGTATACTTACTGCTAGTGAATAGTCATTGTGAAAATGATATGAAGTTTATTGCACAGGGCAACGTGTGTTATGTTCAACTTAAACACATTATTGTCAAAATTATTATTACGTCTATGCAGCAAATTGACAGACGACGAGTCTATAGGTAATTAGATCCACTACTTACACAAAAACATTGTACTTTTTTCACAAATTATCATTGGAATAGAAATAGACGATAAATGTATGTTTGTAAGCAACACTTTACTTGCCAGGAACAACTTTAGTAAAGTGAGAAATACATAATTTTATCGAATTTCGTTAAAAATATCCGCAATGAAATTATACAGTTTCAGAACAAGCGAACCACCCAGGCCAGGTATCCAAATCCATCTGATCGACTTTCCACTCTCCAGCATACTACTGGACTATCAATTCGCGAAGGATTTACATAACTGCCAAAAGGTGAACTCAGTCGTCATTGTCCATACCAATGAGTTCGGCTTGCAAACGCCCTTTGGTACGACAACAAGCAGTCAAACATAGTATTCTAAGAGCTAACCTAAATTGCGGACTTAAAGATATCAATATAACAATCTTCCAAAAAGAGTTCATAATTCCCAGCCACACTACTGCGAAATGTAGCATAGGAACTTTTATTTTCTGATCGGTAAAATATTCGTACAGCTCTACACTAATATAAGGAGCCCAGCTGAGCCAGAACACGGTAACGAGCACAAAACTCATCCAGTGGCTAGGATTTGATAAGTTCTCCGCCAGCGCAGTGGCGTACTTCTTTGTCGTGAATAGGTGCGCCACTGTGTAACTTGCGTTTTCATAGAGAATATGTAGAAGTAGTTGTATACAATAGAAATGACGCTCGGACCTAGCACTAAAATGGCGAGCGTTGCAGTATAAGCGTATGTAGTGCCCAGTCCAGCATGCAGATAAACGTCTCCTTGTCGAAGTTGGCTTCCTTTTTATATCCGAGCAGAGGCGGTAGGCAAAGCATCGCAGCCGAAATCCAAGTGAAAACCATCCAGCACTGACTTCTAGTGCGCGTTTGTACCTGGCCCACATATGTTATTAATAACTCATAATAAACAGTTATGCCTACCCCTATCGCTATCACATTGCATTTTAGAGAATACCTATCTCATGTTTTAATATTGTAATTGTATTAAAATGCTTTTTCAAGAAATGTTCTAGATTGAGGTTCTAGAATAAAATGCACGTTTGTCATTTTCTTTCAATTGGTTCAGTAGTTTATAATAAATTAGTAGCGTAGATATCCGCAAAAATCAACTTTATGCTACAGTAAAGTACGTAATATTGGTATGAATTTCCAGACCAAAATAATCATGCTCGAAGACTAACAAGTCAAAGTAGGTACTTTGTACATAAGTTTTGATAAAAATTAATAGAAGTTGAAAACTACATGAAATATAAAAGACGGAATAAAAAATAGTTATATCGATTCTATTAAAAATTCTAAGAAAGGTATGTTTATTATACTGAAATGAGCAATCTCTAAATGCAAATGCGTATTTAAAAATGTAAGCTTCTAAGAAATAAAAATATTGAAAGGGATAACTACCGTCGCACTAACCGTCTCATATCGGAGAGGCTTTCGAACGGCGAGATAGCGGTCAACCGATATCCACATGAATGTGTACACAGAGACGGACCAGAGGGTCACTTCTACGTAGCCTGCCAGCCGGCACATTAGGTCCCCGAACATCCAGCGTCCAGTAATCGCTGGGTTATACCGATAAAGGCACCACGAACACTCCGCACAATAGATCCGCAACCGCCAGCGACAGTAAATAGTAATTGATCACTTCGTTCGAAAGTCCTGCAGAGAATCATTTGAAGTATTATAAGTTAAAGATGTTATAGTGACCGCTATTTTCTGCAGTTAATCACCTATTTCCCATTAAAATACGAATGACTAATTAACTATTTAAAAGATTCTTTTGTTGATAAAATTGCTTCTATATATACCCTATGTTTTTATAAATTAAAATATGTATATAGTAGTTTCTACTACCATACCAGTGATCTTCTGTGTTCCATGTTAACATATTTAATGTGCTTCCTATATTAAATACTGTTTCAAAGAAACCTGAAACAGTTGATCAGCTTATCCACTACAAAATAGTATTAAATTCTAACGGATAAAGACTAAAAGCGATTAGGAATCGGTACATTACCGTAGTTTTAGCACAGTCTGATAGCGTATTGACATGGTAAAGTCGTACAATGTCTGTATAGCCACGGATCAAAAAGGGCGTACGTACCTTTGAAGTTCAGAAATGACGCTATGATAAGAATATTTGATATGACAATGGCAGCTCCCATGACTGCGATGACAGACGCCTGTGTAAGCGATTCAAAGTTTGCAAGAGGACTATCTGTTACGCTCACATCGACCTGCGCTCGACGCGCCATCCCGAGCACTCGTCATCTTGGCTGGCATATTTCAATACTACTTTGTAAAGATCTGTAACAATAACATTGTATAAAAAAAGGTACACCTAAGTTTATAGAAACTTAACTGACATTCAGAATAATCTAGCTTACAGTGATAATCCGCTCTAAAATTGGGTCGCAAATAAGGGTAATAACTCTAAACAACCGACTACTAAAGATGTTTGTACTATGGGAGATGACAGTCGTCAAATTTGGTAATAGAAGTTAGCCGTGTAAGAGTTATCTGGAGTTAAAAGTGATGAATAAAAATTATGAATTATCATAATAATTGGGTTAAACACTGGTTTAACGACATTTATGTCTATATATCTATTTAAAATAATTCCTATGTTTAAAAATGAACACTAATTAACGTAAACTAATCAATTATTACTTACCAATTGCCACTAACGTAGCATGAAATCAGATGGTATAGTGATCCAACAGGCCATGTTTATATGTCTGTGGAAATAATATAAAATATATATCACATTTTATTACAAGAACATAAATTTGAAAACAATATATCTCATTTAGTTGCCCAAAAACTGTCTATAGATAGACAAGTTGTACTGACAACTTTTCAACATAAAGGGTATTGCAGCTATCACATAGCAAAGTAGACAAGTACTAAACAACAAAATCGTAAAGGGCGTAACCAAGCATGTAAAGGATACAGTCATTTGCTCTAACGATCTCTGAATGGTACTAATGAAATTCCACGTTCTTTTATATTTTACTGTTTTTTTCCCTAATTATTAGTGCCAAGCTGTTCTAGTCATTGCCGTATGATCCGGTAAAATATAAGAGATCATATCACGTAAATTTGACACAGTTATTGCCAAAAGTCATAATTATCAATCTACAGCCTTTAGTAGTCCACAGCTGGACATAGGCCGCCCCTTGGAAGAGGTTTTGGCTTTGGTTTGGTTGGTATATAGGATTTGTTACAGGTTTTCCTTCTCTTTACAGTGCTGTTTTCCTACGTATTTGCTCCCTTAGTCAGCTCTTACGGCACCCACGGAATGAATAGGGGTGGTGGGTCAAAGTTATTGTCATAAAATTTGAGAGAATGCTCATACTCATAGTAGATGAAACTAGGTAACCTAAATTGTATCGCTTTCTAAAATGAAACTTAAATTAATATCTATCAAATATTAACGGACGAAAAAAGGCCTATTTTAAAACCGGGTTAAATGTTCACGTCGAATAAAACTCGACTACAGTTTGCCCTATTTCCTGGAGCGGTCATCGACTTAACCTTTGAACTGCTGTCTGATCTATTTTAAAAGTGAAACACTTTCGCCATCTCCTACTATAATATTTGTTCACTTTTCATATAAATTTAAATGAGTTTCACTCATTCTATTTGGTATAGTTGTAAAATAGTATAGTTTCATACACTTAACAAAACAAAAGTTTATATTTGAGAAAATGACTTTGATACTTAAGGATAGCATAAATATACACATTAAGCATTTGTTTTGGCAGCTATTTTTAATTCTAGATAATTCTCGTGATTCAAAAATAATGGTACAGACTTATAGGATTCAAGAATAATTCTGTTGTACAGATTATGGTGCGGTTTTTATTCTTTTTTTTAATGAAGGGCTTCGCTGTGCGACCACAGACGCCCTGTAAGAGTACGAATACATCAATTAACATCTAACATAGACATAATCCCACTAATGTATAAAACAGCCGAAGTTAAACTGACACAGTGTTGCCCCGGTATACTATTAAAAATAACAGCGGTTATTATTATTACCCTTGTAACTGAGCTTCTTTGGAATTTATGAACATGTTGAGAGATATTTTTAAAGATTCTTGATTCAGATTACGTATCAATAGTCCTTATGTGTAGAAGGATAGTTCTAAAATACGATTATTTTTATTTCATTAAAAGCTTGTCTTTACTTCTAATACGTCTATGCCTATATGCATTTAAACATATTTGTAGTTTTTTGACATAAGTTTATTTACTTATTTATTTGATCTTGGAAGAGCAACAGTTTTACAAATTGATTTATTGATATATTTGAAGCCATTAACAGGTCTTCACGAATAGAAAATAGTTTACAATAAGTAACTGCGAGGATTTAGTATTTAAGAGAGATTATAAGTTTAACAAAGAATCAAGTACAACACTTAATAAAATTAGTATTCTGAAAAGAACTCGAGTGCCCGTCTCTCCAACTGCTGACTAGTCACAAATATATCAAGTTGTAATTGTTTACATTTTTTGTTAATCGAACAGAAATGTATCGGCAACCAATGGTAGGTGAATGGGAGTGTGGTGTCTCGATACTTTAGTGGGAACGTTAAAGGTGATTTTTTAAAGTAGATCGGGGTAATCTATACGTTCCGATATTATCCCCAATAGAAACGTAACGTCCGCTATTTCACTCCGCTGAGAGGGATAATGTGAAAACTGGCGCATAGCTTTCAAATAGTCCTTTGATTCGTATTTATACTTAAAACGATAGCATAGATACGAGTATTTTATAAATTTCATTTGAATTCTCTCAATCCGAGATATTCATCACAACGTGGCTGCCAAATCTGACTAACATATTACAATATACGAGTACTAAGAACGTACGTGTAATAAGGAATTTTCATAGTATTGGCTTCCTTAAATTCGATTGACATCCGCATCACGAAGCCTGAGAAGCCTTAGATATTATACTGTCTAGTTGTAGTAGTTGGTTTAGTAGCAGTAGTACTTTAAGTTGGTAAATAATTTTAATTTTGCTTTGAGTAGGAGGAGATGCTTAATTCTGTTGGTATTTTTTCATGTTTGTTACGTCAGAACTCTGTGACTCATGAACCGATTTGGAAGGGCGTACTTCCTCTTTGGTCCCATTCAAATTTGAAGCAAAAATACCACCCCTTATGGTCGAAAATTGTGGAAAATTACAATTCACCAATATATAGGTGTATTACATTTACAGTTAATTATTGTAGAACAGGTCAACTGACAATTATAAGGCATAAATTACAGACATTAATTATAGTGTCCACTTTACACTAATATTAAACTGTATCGCTATGTAATGTACATTTCCATGAATATGTACATCGTAGCAGTGCAAAATTAAATATTAAATAAAAAGTTAAATTGACTGTGTCTGGCAAGATACCTACCCGATTTGATTATCGATATCGAATATTGTAATAATCGATTTCTTTGACACATCCCTATTCTTCAATCACCCAACTCTCCTTAGATAAGATGGACTTATAATACGATACCGTTATGTTCTTACTTGAAAGCGCATCGATTCCCGGGTCAGGTCAAATGTTTGTATGGTGTTTTCTATGTATAAAATGTATGTATTTAAGAAAATAATTATAAAAGTATTCTATCAGTCAATCTAGCTTTTTTAGTACAAGCTCTGCTAAGTTTGAAACTAGATGGCGTTGTGTGTCAGACATCTGAAATTCTATTATTAATATCTCGTAACAGTAAACTGTTGGGCGATAATGGAAAGTAAGCTTACGATTGATCTAAAACTTTAGAACACAAGCTTATGTCACATACCACGACATCATTTATTTGCCTTGTACAGAACTTTTTTTTTAAAAAAAAGGTAATTTATTTGCCTTGTACAGAACTTTAAAAAAAAAACTTTTATTTAAATTTTTGTTCTGCTTTCACTAATGCTTAGTTCCCCTTGATGGTGTATAATCTCATTATACGCTCAAGAAGCACATTGTTTCATTAAAAAAGATTTCCTTGCTTGCTGCTTTAACCTCAATAACCTCAAAATTTTTGAAAATAAAAAACTAAATTAACTATAGGCTAGTGATGTGCCGGATATCCGTATCCGTATCCGCGGATATCCAAGGGAGAAGAGAGATCCGTAACCGTATCCGTATCCGTGACTTTTTTGGCGGATCTTTTAATACATATTACATAGATGAAATTCTATATAGGTGAGTTTGTATTCACTATAAAACTCTTAGGTATGTGTTTGTAACACTATAAACAACAACTTATTTTCTGGCCAACGTCAAAATAAAAAAAAATTGGTCCTCCATTCAAATGACCAATCAAATGTTGTTAGTTTGTATGTAGAAACAATTTTTTTTCTTTCGTTTTCGGTGTTAGTCCAGAAGAAAAGTTGTTGTTTATAATGTTACTAAAATGCACTTCAGAGGTTTTTAGTAAATTTAAAATAACCCTGAATAATGGTTATTCGGTAGCTATGAAAAACTATTGAATTCTGTTCAGATTACTTTTTATTTCTTAAAACAAATATTTGGCACCTTTGTATTGCAGTCATTTATCGTACTACACTAAATCAACTAGGCAGGTCGTAGGTACTGAAAGAGCTAACTTTATAATGAGATCAATCAAACATCTTTGTATTAGCTTATTAAAATAATGAAATAATTAAATATCAACGGCAAAGCGTCAAGTGGCGACAACTATCAAGGTCACGGGCTCCGATTGAGTAAGAAACTTAAGATCCGTATCCGTATCCGCGGATCTTGACACCAAATATCCGTATTCGGATCCTTTGTTAACGATCCGGCACATCACTACTATAGGCCAAACAAAATTAAGTGTGAAGTAGAACATAATGTGATATAAAAATATCATTTTTAGAATTTCCAAAACTTTCAAAGCTCTCTAAAGTAAAAACCAGTCTGTATATACCATCCGGCGAATGCTGTAGAATTGCCTAACATCAAACAACGGGAATTGTTAAGTTATTTACGAAATAACTATCATATCATTTTTTATAATCCATAACAGCGAAAGACTAAATGAAAGAGAGAGAGACAGAAAGAGAGAGAGATAAGATGTTTAAGGGGCGTAAAGTTACGCAGGTAGAACTGGGTCAATGCTAGGTTAACTTCTCCAATTAAGCCTTGACCAAGTACTCATCAATGAGATGAACGCTTCACAAAATAAATATTTATTTCAATTCAATATTTTTAGTTTTTATTTAACCCAAACACAAATTGAA